ATGCCCTTTACAGCAGTCCCAAAACCAAATAACCAAAAATCCCACTTGCTTCAGAAATATATGTTCTTCCTAACTGGCCTTTAAGGGTACCCAGCAGGAGAGCTGGCTCCCAAGTCTTCAAAAAACTAACAGTAGTGGACACCTCTGTTCCTAAATCTCAGCTTTGATTTGAAACAATTATATATTGCTAAAAAAGCTTCCACGCAAAATTTCTGCTCTATCAAGCTCTTCAGTTATGCAGTTACGAAGTTACTGTGCTTGGAACAAAACCTGGTTACCAGTTGAATTACTGTAGAGCTTTGGAACACTTACCACAAATAGAGATCTTGGTATTCTTAGTGTTATGTCCTCAGTTCTTTGCTGTTTGACCTGTGATAAAAGTTTGACAATTTTCCATGGCCTTTGCTCTTAAGTTCCATTTTCAGAGGGAACAGGGAACTCGAAGCTTGGATTTCTAAGACCATACATTTCTTTTGAAAAATAAGATATGTAAAATTGAATTTGTGCTTCTAATTATTTCCCACTACTAAACAAAAAAGGAGAAATAGAAATAGTTGAAAAGAATGTGTACGTATACTGAAACTGCATCTTAAAGTGTCTCCTAGTTAAAAATATTTGTTTGCCTTTCAGGTTTCACCTAGGCTCATATACCATCCAGAATATCATTAGCTGGTCAACTTCTCAGTTTGCAACAAAGCCGCATCTGCTTGAGGTTGGTGGCTTAATCTACCAGAAAGGGTTATTTACCAGTGCCAGTACTGTTTTCATTTAGTTGAGGGATGAGGAAAATGCACGTTTACCTGTTATTTATATCCTTGAGGCCCTTCTGGAAGGATATACACATCTATTGCTTTCCCTATTTCACACATGGCAAATATATGCATGAACATGTGAGAGGTTATATACTGAGACTGTGACAGAGTTGTGGAGTTGAACCCAGTTATTGGTTTATACTGTTTTGTTTTCCTGTTCACTGGAACACACTGTCTCCAAAAATAATGATTCGATCTATATACAGTTTTGGTCTAGATTTTGTAAACAAGGTATGCTTTCTACATCTCTGGAACGTGGTACCGTGCTGTAAAAAAATTTCTTTGTGCTATTTTTAATGTCAGCAATACCAAGGAGCTATTGCAGAAGTTGAGTATTGGCTAAGAACTGGGTAATAGCTGTTAGAAAAACTCTGTTGTCTTCCCTGACAAGACCTCGAATTTAATATGTCAAGAATGGTTTAAAGTTTAGACTAATGTTTTTGTTCAGATAATTTGGTAGAGATAGTTGTTTGTGCTTTGATCTATAGTATTTTAAGTGTTAGCATAGACAACTACAATGATGAGTGGGTGTGGGGACCATTCCAGAATGCTGAAGAGGGTTGCTTGCAACAGGACTCCTTTTCAGAACTCTTAAGTACTGTCTGTTTGCTTTGTGAGGAATTTGATAAGTAAATGTCTGTTTATTGCTGAAATAATTTATTGAAACCAAACAAGTTATTGCTGCTGTATCCTTGAAAAATGCTTTCCTTACATTTTGGGAGCTCCTTTGAGAGTTTTGCTTACTGCATAGGTGCAAATGATTCTCAAAAAATGGATTTCCTGCAACGTATACATAGCCTCTGCTTCTGAACATATTTGTGTGGCCAGTATTGATTTTAATTAAAATTTTATTTTTCTTTCTTTTCTCTTGCTATGCAGGTGAAGTCATTTTTTGAGTCAAAATCAGAGGAGAGTTCTCAACTGCATTGTGTAAAAGAAGCAATTGACACAATTCAGCTCAATATCCAGTGGATGGAGAGGAACTTAGCAAAGCTGCAAGAACTGCTCTAGTGCACATAACACTGTGGTGTGTCAGCCATTTAGGAGCTCTGTGAACAGTTACTGTGTTTTCTTTGCAAAAGCCAGGGTGAAATCAGGCATCGCTGCAACATTGCACTATTAAGGAGTCTAGATAGCTCAGGGCATGTCTCAGATAAATTTTTATTTTCCTTGAAGCATTTTTGAGCAATATGTAAGTATTTACCCTGAAATGGTTTTCATCTATAGACCAAACATCTGCACAAATGATTAAATATAATTTTATATGTGAAACTCACACCCTTTCCTTTGGAGCTGTGTTGTAGTTTCTTAGCAATGGGTCAGTGTTGACAGTCAGGTCAGAAAGAAAGAGTTACCATGAACTATTACTTCTTTGCAGACTCTCATTGAGCAGTAGATTTTTGTTTTGTTTTGCAAAACTGTATGTGGTTTCCATATTTGTAGATATAGAAGCTATTGTGAAACAAAATCGTATTTCAGGTACATAAGTAGTAGTGAATCTTAAAAAACTATACAACTGAGGCAAAATAAATGCAAGTCCGATTTTATTTAAGTTTGGGCTTTTTATTTTCATGGTGTTCTTTAGGAATTACACATGCGAAAATAAATCTCGTGCTAATAGTATACACTTTGGTGTATGAAGTGGCTGGATAGTAGTATGGAGAAGAAGAAACAGATAGCAAAACCAAGTGTTTCAGAGATGGGATTCCCAGAAGCAGTGGTGTGACCTTGGAACTTTTACTCTGAATTTATCAGATAGTTTTGAGAATCTCATAATGAATCTCTGAACTTTAACTGATTTTGCTGTATTGGTCTCTGACCAGCTGCACAAAATTGTGTTTTTCCAGGTTGGTTCATCTCTTAGACTGACTACTGATTTATGCCCTTTTGACTGCTGATTTTTAATTTCACCCCTTGTTGCAGAGGGTTTGCAGTTAATAGATATGTCAATCACTTCATTTATGTAAACTTCTGTTTTTTCATTGCCTGATAACTTGCAGATCACAGTATAATTCATGAACATTGCTCATTCTTTATGACATAACCTTTAGGAAAGCTTCTAATTTAGATTTTAATTATTTGTTTTTCTGCTGTTGTGAAAAATTCTGTGAGACAAATCCTCAAGGTCTTTTACAGAAGGGGAACTAAAACTCTATTGTGCTACACTAGAAAGGCAAAATACCTGCAGTGCAGTCTGTGTCTTTCAAAAGTAGCAAAAAAACCCATTTTTTAAGTATGGCATATGTATACAACACATGCAAGAGTAAACGTACCTTTTATCTGGAGATCTGTTCTACTCATTTCACTACCAGTGTGTCTTCTGTGGACTCATGCAAGCAGATTTAGAACTGTTGTTAAATTATGGAATGAGAATTGCAATCAAGTATATTCTTGGGAGTTTTTGTACTGTTATGTGCTATTGCTTTGATCCCTCCTTTATTTTAAGTCTTTGAAATCTTTACAGAAATATTGTTTCCATCTTTGTGTATTTTATGTGTATATATCTGTGTATATATGTATATGTGTGTATGTGTATATATATATGTGTGTGTGTGTGTGTGTGTGTATACACTTTCACTTTTCTGTCCCTTCTGTCTCCTCATATGCATTTTACTTAATCCCTGGGCACAGTATTGAGTCTTATAAAATTTAAAATCAAAACTGTGGAAGAGGATCCCATCTTCCTCCTGATTTCTGCTGTGGAATTTTAAAAATTTACTATTCTATTCAAATACTTTAGTGATAATTATGAAGAAATAGTATGGAGCTGAGTTTTAGACAGCAAACTATACCAAGAAAATCTGGAAGGTTGGGGAGGTTGTTTTAATTTTACTGTTAGTTGCATATGCATACTTTGGTGTGTCAGTTGTAGAGGTTTTAAAATTATTTTTCTGTCATGGAGTCTCCAACCCAATATTAAAAAATTGTACTAGTGCCCTCTTTCCATAAGAAATGCTTAAAGGTAATTCTCCCTTTTTGAGTATACTGGGAATTGATGAAGACTGAAATGGCTAAGAGCTGGTGCCTGGTGGACAGCCTTTGCTGGCAAGGCTCATGTTGGACATGGGCTTAGGGCAGGATGAGGGTCTGGAAAAGAGTGACAGTGCAAGACAAAGAGCAGAACCAAGGGGTTAGGAGGGCTGTGAAAGCTGAGGTAAGGTAATGGCTGCCACTTCTGCCTGAGAGCCAGAGAGAGCTGGATGTCCCATTAGCTGGGTGTCCCATTAGCTGGGTTCTTGTTAGGACTAGTGGGAGGGTTAAGCTTAGCTATAGGTGCAGGACAAAAAGCAAAGCCCTAGTGTTTATGGGGCTGTGAAGGAACAGCCAAGGGAGCGTGAGGGCATTCAAAAACTTTTGGTTTAGGCCATGAAAATGAGAGCCATAGCTGGCTCCCTGATGGAGCTGGGGTCCGATAAAGGTTAATACAAGGGTGAGAATTAGACATAGGTACAAGAGAGAGCCCTGCAGTATTTGTGGGGGTGCAAAGGAGCTGCAAAAGAAAGGTGAGGGGTACCAAAGCTTTCAGACTTGGCCACATTTTCCAGGGAGCCATTGCTGGCAGAGTTTGGGGTGGACCTATGCGTCGCATAGTCATGATGCCATGATGATCGTGATGTCAGTGACCATTACAATGTGCAAGAGCAAACACTGAGACCCACTGAGAGTTTGACTGTGAAGGGTCTGCCAATGAAAGGTGAGGAATGCCAACACCTCTCACTCCTGGCTACTTCTGTTGGGAGCCCTGGGTGGCTGGAGTGTGCTTTGGAGCTGGACCCTGGGTGAGACTGATGTGGTGGGTGAGGGTTAGGCAGTAGAGCAACTGCAGAGCCCCAGTGTTATTGGGACTTTTAACGAGCTGGCAAGGGAAGGTGAGGGCTGCCAAAAGCTTTCAGTCCTGGCTGTTTCTGTGTGAGAGCCCTAGCTGGTGAGTCAGTTTTGAAGCTGACCTCTGGCTACATTTGTCATGATGTGGAATAGGATTAACTGCTAGAGCAATCACAGAGCCCTGGTATTGGTGGGGCTGCAAATGAGCTATCAAGGGAAGCTGAGAATGGCCAAAAGATTTCATTCTCTGCTGCTGCTCTAGCCTGTCCTACCCAACTCTACCAAGCCCATGTCCAAAACAGAACCTTGCCAGCAATGACTCCCAAATAAAAGCCCCCAAGAATTAAAGCATTTGGCAGCCTCTTCAAATCATCTCAAATATTGGGACTTTGTTATTTGTCCTCTCAGATGAAACTTCTGAGCACCTAGTCCAGTTGCATCTTGAAAACATCCAGTGATGTCAACTCCACTGCATCCCTGGGGTGATTGTTCAGGTGAACAACTGTTCTCACTGTAAAAAAACAAATTCTTTTTATATCAAGATGAAATCTCTCCTGGTGCAAGTTGTACCCATTACTCCTTCTCTTCTGCTTGTGGATCATTGTGAACAGAGAACCTCTTTCGTCCTTGTAGTTGCTCTTTGAGTGCGGAAATTCTGTGATGAGATGAGGCCCCCCTGAATCTTCTTTGGGAAGATAAGACCTAACCCATTCAGTCTTTCCTCTTCAGACAAGTTTTCTAGGACTGTCTCCAATCTGTCTGCATTTTTCTTGAACTGTGGGGACCAGAACTGGACACAGTACCTCAATAGGAAATAATGCTGTTACCCATTTGAGAAAATACAAAAGTTACTTTGCACTTGTAACCTTCCTTAGAGTCATAATCATCTCTTGAGTGTCCCATGTTGTCTGCCACTCCTTCCTTTTCACACTCTTAAACAGTGCCACTTTGTCTCAGACGAACAACCAGCCCCATAGACCAGCTTGCAGAAGACCCCACATAGTGCCCACGTAGCTCCAAGGTGATTGATGAATGCCGTGGCTTGACTTACAGTGGTGGTCCTGCTCTCTCAGGGTAGAGTCCTCCTGTTTCTCTTTCCAATGCTTCCAGCTGTGGGGCTGGTGATGCCAATGGCTCTGCCTCTCCAATGGCATCTGCATGCCTGTGTACAGGATCTGGTGGTCTGCAAAAAAGTGGCATTTACTTCACTCATGATATGAGTGGAGATGGTTGATGCAGAAGGCACAGTTAAATCAGTGCATCTATCCCAGGAGGAAACACCAACTTCTCTTAATTTTATTTTCACTGAATCCCTGAATGCTACAGACCATTTCCAAGGCCATTTTACTCAAGCTTTGCAACAACAGAGCAACAGCAAGTGCTTCTAAGAAGCGTCCTGAAATTATGGAACCTCTTCTCAAATTTAAGCTTTGGCTGGATAACTCAGACTTCCTCATGAAGCCGCAGCAGAAAGTAATTATTTTTTAAATCTTTTTATGGCACAATGCAACAAGAAAAGGTCAAATCAGTCCCATGATAATGAACTCAAGAACAAAAAAAAGAAAATCACAGCCCCCCATCAGCAGCCATCACATCACTCTTCTTACCTCTCCAAGCCAGGAGCAGCCTCTGTGAGAAATCAAGCCATGAATTATCCAGCCCCATGGCTAAAACTCACACCAGGGCCTCTGTGGGGGCTTTTTTCTTTGGTTTAGAAGCTGTAATATTAAAAAATTGTGAAAGTGACTGCGCTTATTTACGTAGTAGCACAGCACAGTTTGCTGCACATGCTGTGATGCTGAGCTAGGGATCTTGTGGGGATTTTGTGCAATGGACAAATGAACTGGGGCGGTGACCCTTCTAACAGGATCTCAGCAGAGACTCACCTTCCAGCTCTTCCTTCTCGTAGTGAATATTGGCAGCATTGCTCGTTCTTCCCTGATCAGTCGCTGCCTCTTCAGTGTGCCTCTGTACAGCAATGAGAAGGTAAAACCTGGGGCTGGGTGTGTACAGCTCCCCTGTGTCCTCCCAGCCATCATCCACCTCTGCCTCCGGGCGAGTCCATAAGCATCACACCTCTACGTGCCTCCTCCTCCAGGCACGGTTCTAAAAACATGGACATGCCATAGTAGTTTTTCTCATATCCAAATAAAAAAGCCCATAACATCATATAACACATGCAGTGGGAATCTGGAAGTGTTTATTACAAGGGGAGAGGCTGAAAGTTTCAGACCAAAAATAAACCTCCTATTTTGTTCCTGTGCTACTGAGAAGAAAAAAAACAAAAAAAAAAAAAAAAACCACACAAAAAACCCCCAAACAAAAAACCACACACCAAAAAAAACCAAAAACCCCCTCCCCTCCCCAAAAAAAAAAAACAAAAAAAAAAAACCACATCAAAAAAACAAACCTAAAAACAATGCTTTTGGCCACAGCAAGTTCCAGTCTCCCAATGTGACACTCCCAATGTGCAGGGCTCACTAGATTGCACTTGACCACAAGGATAGGGCCATCCACAACAAAGGCCCTCAAGAACCTGCAAGGGGGAAGCTGCTTCTTCAGCCCAACAGAGCGCAGGCTTCCCTTGGTGAAAGCACACTTTTCATGGAAAACTTAATTTTTCTCTGCAGAAACCAAAGGCTGAGAGCTAATGCCCACTTTGCCAGAAATACCAGTGCCAGTGCTGCATGAAGAACGTTGGTGCCTTAAAAGCTAAAGGAAAACTAGAGGAGCAAACTGAAGTAAGTATTTTTGCTTCTCTTATCCCTTAGTAACCAAGGATGGGGAAGGGGATTACCAGAGTTACTAAGTTCGAAAAATAAAAAACCAGCACATCTCACATTCAAGTCCAACATCAGCTTGAAGAAGGGCAGTCTAGAGCATAAGGCATGCTACGGAGGGATGGACAGGCTGTGGCACAGGCTGTAGTGAGCCATAACCATGTCCTTCTGGGACAATGCCTGCTGATCCAAAGGCAGCCTCAGTACCAAAGGCCTCCTCTGTCCTGCCCACGCTCCTCCTCTGCATGCACAGAAATGCTGATGTGGACTTAGTTGTTGTTGTTGAAATAAAGTTGCCTGTTTTCACCATTAACCATGTTGGCAGTCCCACTCAGTCTCCTGTGCCCTCGAGGCCAGGCCTCCCTGGGCCGACACCTGCAAAATGAGGCTGCACAGGCAGGCAAAGGGAAAGGGCACAAAAGAGAGCAAAGGGAAAGGGTCCCTCCAAGGGGCTGGAATCGTGCCTGCTCAGAGAGGAGGCCAAGGGTGCAGTGCAGAAGGGAACACAGGTTTAGGGCCTTACAGGTCTTGGGGCCAGCAGCTGGAAATGCACAGTGTCTTAGGCTGCTGACCGGTGGGATGCCTCTGTGTGTGGATGTGTGTACAGCACACCAGGCAACTGGAAACTGGACTCGGGATGTCTGGGCAGGAACCTTCCAGCTCCTTGGTCTTCCTTTAACTTCATCAAAGGAAAGCTCAGAGAACTCTCCTTGGTCATCAAGGAGAGCAACTCATTGGCTGTAATTGAAATGACAGTCCAACAGCCAGGGTCTGCTGTACCTGGGGAAAAAGGGGGAAGCTGTTCAGCAGTCAAATGGAAGCAACTAAATCAGCAGGCTTAACCCTGAAGGGGCTCCAGTTTCTTCCCTTAAAGGAAAAGAATGTTTAGTTAGAGGTGTTCATAGTTGGGTTGTAAACACCACCTAAAAAAGCTTTGGCCCAGAGACTGTTACATTTGCTAGTTGATTTTCTTGTCTCAAGCAGGGAAACAGTGTCACAAAGTGCTTTTAAAAACCTCAGTGTGGGGCTTTTTGTTGTTGTTGTTGTTGTTGTTGTTGCCACAAATTCTGGACCAGTTTCTGATGATAAGTAAAAAGTTTATCGTTGGCAGAGTCCTGGCACAGCTTGCCCTGGAACTGTTCAAGGCCAGGTTGGATGGGACTCTGAGCAACTTGATCTGGTGGACGGTGTCCCTGCGCATGGCTGGGGGTTGGAACTAGTGGATCTTTAAGGTCCTTTCCAAGCCAGACCGTTCCATGGCTCTATGACTCTACGTTACCCTTCTCCCCCTGCCTCCAGAGGCCACCACCATGCCCAGATCATGGAACCAGCCCCCCTGTGACATCAGCCCCAGGCTGAGGGCACCGCCAGCAACTCCAGTGCTGCGGACACTTCGTTGGCAGCTGTGCTGGAGGAGACAGGCCCTCACTCCTTGCAGCTGACTTGTGTCGCTGGCAGCGATGATTCTGCTGCGCCTGCTCATCCTGCTGGCCCTGTGTGGGGCCGCCGACGGCACATCGAACACGTGCGGGTAAGTGGCCCCAGGCTCTGGGAGGGAGCCTGGGCAAGTTGTAGGGGCTACCCTGAGGGTGCCTGCTTGTCTCGTGGCTACACCAGAGCTTCCCAAACCCCATGTGGGAGCCTCAGCCCCTTGCCCGCACTCAGACTGCTGGCACAACTCATCTACGGGGCTGAAGCAGACACAGGGGCAGACAGACACACGCCCCCACGGGGTCCCCTGGCCCTGCTGGCCGTGCAACCAGTGCCCTGTGGGGAGGGAAGCAGGCTGCCCTTCAGCCTGAGCAGCATCAAGCCCTCAAGCAGGACAGTAATGACCTTCTGCTTACAGACAGGTCTGCGGGCTCCGGCCTGCGCCCTACAGCACGACGCGCATCGTGGGTGGCGTAACTGTCCGGCCAGGAAGAGGGGCCTGGGCCGGGATAGTCAGCATCCAGAGTCTTCGGACAGAAACATTGTTTAGGCATAACTGTGGAGGGACCATCATCAGACCACAGTGGGTCCTCTCAGCTGCCCACTGCTTCATCAACCGCACAAAGTAAGGAGGACCAGGGAACCGGGATATCCCCAACACCCCAGCCGGTGCTCTGTGCCCAACACCACGTTCTACTCCCATCCCATTTCCTTGCAGCATGCCCAGTGCCTGGGCACCGCAAGCCCAGCTGAGACTGCTCAGGGAGAAGGCTGGGCTCGTGTCCCTGCTTCCTAGCAGCCTCCAGCTTGGCATTTCTGGAGCCTAAGCCATGCTAGTGCCGTCACCCCCCCTGTAACTTTGCTTTCCTCTCTGCCTTGGGCAGCAGAAGGCAGGGAACTGGTGGGCTGCCACAGCACATGGCTCTGTTCCCTCTCAGCCCTCTCTCTGTCTGCCTTCCAGTCCCCTCAGCGAGTGGGGCGTGCTGGCCGGGCTCACATCAACTGCTGAGTCGGGGCCTCATGTACAAATACGCCGGATTAAGCAGGTGAAGATACATGAGCTCTATGATGGTGCCCTGCGTCATGACATTGCCCTGGTGGAATTGACGAAGCCCTTTGAGTGCAACCCCTCCGTTCAGCTCGCTTGTCTACCTGGTCCCACAGTGAAAGTAGCGCCTCTGAACTGCTATGCTGCTGGCTGGGGTGACACTGAGGCTAAAAGTAAGTTTCCCAAAAGGACCTGTGCCCTGAGGGCAAGCTTGGCACACTGGGGAGAGATGGGTGGGGCTTCCTGACAGCAGAGGCCAAAACCAGGGTTGGGCTGCGGGATGTATGCCTCTGGAGAGATGGGACGAGCCTACTTCCCAAAGCTAGACAGCAGTGACACAGCACTCCAATGCGTCTCCAGAGACAGAGCCAAGGCCCAGGGAAGGGCTTCACCCCCAGACAGGCCAGGGGAATGGACAAGGAGCTGCTGGGAGCTCATTCCTTTCTCTGCTTACAGCTGTAGCTTCACCAGCAAGGCCCTTGAAGGAGACCAAGTTGCACCTCATTGACACCCAGCTCTGCAACAGCACTGACTGGTATGGAGGGATAATTGCAGCCGACAACGTGTGTGCTGGGCATGCAAAGGGTGGCACGAACACCTGCCAGGTAGGAGTGTGCTACGAGTCATTCAGCCCCCCGTCAGCACTGCCCAAACACAGTTCCACATGTGCGTTGCCTGGCCAGCTGCCCTCCCAGCCCCGAGGCCCCACCACTACTGGGGCTTCCCTCCCCTTCTCCTCCCAAGGGTCCTTGCCCAGTTCCCCCCTTGTCCCAGCTGCCTGGCACTCTTCCCAGAGAGCCTGCCTAGTGCTCTTGGCAGTGCAGAGGTCCAGATGCCAACCCTGGAACATCCGCTCTCCGCACTTCCAGGATCACTGAGCACAGAGGACAGAGAGCCCTACCTTACAGACCTGTAACCTCCTCCCAGCCATGGTTCTGGAGGCCTCAGCACCTGAGCAGAACCTTTCCCTGCCAGGAATCCAGCTCTGCCAGGGGCTGGGAGAGCAAAGAAGCCAGCCCTATGTGCTGACAGGGGCCACCCAACACTCCCTTAATCCTCTCTGCTTTGCTACAGGGTGACAGCGGGGGGCCTCTCATCTGCAAAGATAGCACAGCTGACATCTTCTGGGAAGTTGGTCTGACCAGCTGGGCAGTAGGTTGTGCCAGACCCAAAAAGCCTACAGTTTTTGTCTCCACTCAATACTACCACAGCTGGATCATGAAACACATTGGCCAGAGCTCAGCTATTCCAGCGCCAGTGCAATCCTGTCCGTTTCCACGTAAGAAGCTGCTGCAATTCTTTAATCTGCTGCAGGAGCTCTTGAAGTTCCTAAAGGCAAAACCAGCTTGAGCAGCAGGATGGACAGGCTGTGGTGCAGGCTGTAGTGAGCCCACGCTCCTCCTCTGCATGCACACAAATGCTGATGTGGACTTAGTTGTTGTTGTTGAAATAAAGTTGCCTGTTTTCACCATTAACCATGTTGGCAGTCCCACTCAGTCTCCTGTGCCCTCGAGGCCAGGCCTCCCTGGGCCGACACCTGCAAAATGAGGCTGCACAGGCAGGCAAAGGGAAAGGGCACAAAAGAGAGCAAAGGGAAAGGGTCCCTCCAAGGGGCTGGAATCGTGCCTGCTCAGAGAGGAAGCCAGGGGTGCAGTGCAGAAGGGAACACAGGTTTAGGGCCTTACAGGTCTTGGGGCCAGCAGCTGGAAATGCACAGTGTCTTAGGCTGCTGACCAGTGGGATGCCTCTGTGTGTGGATGTGTGTACAGCACACCAGGCAACTGGAAACTGGACTCGGGATGTCTGGGCAGGAACCTTCCAGCTCCTTGGTCTTCCTTTAACTTCATCAAAGGAAAGCTCAGAGAACTCTCCTTGGTCATCAAGGAGAGCAGCTCATTGGCTGTAATTGAAATGACAGTCCAACAGCCAGGGTCTGCTGTACCTGGGGAAAAAGGGGGAAGCTGTTCAGCAGTCAAATGGAAGCAACTAAATC